TGAACAAGTTCACAGGAAAGCAGCAAAGAGAGAACTGGACAGCACCACCAGCAAACCAGGTTCATGTGATATTTGGAGATCCTTCCACCCAACAAAGCAGAGTACACCTTCTTTTCAAGTGCTCAGAGAACATTTACCAACTTAGGCAGCAGAGCCCTGAATCCGATTAGGCCCAGCTAGTCACTGTTCCTCTCCTTGGCTGGATATTCCAGGAGGAAAGCGCACAGCTAAGCTGACTGTTCTCTAAATGTATGACCACCTGGAAATCTCTATTAAGTATGCTTTCCATTCTGCAAAACCACTGGTTCATGGTGTGTCTTTCTTTGGGCTCCTATACCCTTCTACCCCCACCTCCACCTCTCAGATGGTTGCCTTGCCTCAAAATGAAATAGGTTTGCTTTCCATCTTTTCACCATCGTATGCCCTAACCTCTTTACAACTTCCTTACTCTTTCTGCCTCCCTCTTGTAGTGGCTAGAGTGCCCTGTTCTGCCAGTGTCCAACCCCTCAGCCCACCCTCTGCTTCTTTAGGACTTTGCTTTTGTGGTCCCCACACTTGGCCATGGGGAGCTATGCTTGTCCGCATGGGAACATTTGTAACAGTCCTCCTCTTGTCTACTCTCTAAGGTACTGGGGAGCAGGGAGTGTGTTTTATTCTTTCTTTGGATTTCGAGGACCTGGTGAAAAGCCTAGGATAGTGTTTGGCTCCATGGTAGAAACTAAATTAGTATTTGTGGAAGGAATGAGTGTCCCATATGCATGTTCAACAAAAGTTTTTGACTGAATGAGTGCTAGTTGGGCTGCTGTTGAAATGCCGGTGTCCTTAGCATACTCCCATGAGTTATCAGAACGAATGAGGGAATTTCTGCTTGTTTTCACTGTGATCCCCCAGCCCTAAGCGGCCTGAGGCAGGAGGGAAGTGGAAAGTGGCATGTCCACACAGTGCCGCCAGGTGGCAGAAGATATGCATTCTTCACGGACTGAGTGACCATCAGAGGGCCAGATGCCCTGGACACAGTCAGGGCTGCCAGGCCAGGAATCCTCAGGGTCTTGTTAAAATGTAGATTGTGATTCAATATGTCTGAAGTTGAAATGCAAATTCTCTGCAGGGAATCAAACTGGAATGAACTGGTTCAAAGCCCTGAAAATAACTTGTGTAACTTCAGTAGTGTTTGAGGAAAGCAATCCACGTGACGAAAGGCATAGACACAGAACAGGAACACGGACACAGGATGCTGTGTCCTGCCAGTGGGTTCTCTGGTTAAGGGCAAGGACGCTGGAGCCAGGCTGCTCAATTGTGGTCCTGGGTATGTGGTTTACTGCCATGCTGCCTTGGACAAGGTGCCTCAGTTCCCTCATGTCCAAAAGGAAGCTGCTGACTTCTAAAAGCAGAGATTAGTTGTGCTTGTTTCTGTAACTTATATACATGTAATGTATTTGACTGCTAAACAGAAGGGTGGCGGTTCAAACCCACCAGCCACTC